TCAAAGCAAAACATTTCTTAATAGGGACAGTCTAACTTGAAAGCATTTCTGCTGCTTCTCTGGCCCCATTTACTACCATACTCATCAGCAGTAAACTATTCCCCACTAGAAATCTTCGGCCCCGGGCCCTGTGAAGTTATTAGGAGACACGGTCCTGATCCCGTTAAGTGACCTGAACAGCACACTACTCTGGAGTGATCTTCTTTTCACCTCTTCAGCTGAATTAGTGCAACTGCAACTGCTCCTTCTATTCATTAAGTTGGGCTCCTTTGCTTTGCTAGTTTGCTTCCTGCCGAGAGTAATTAGGTTTCTTATATAATAATAATTCCTAGTATTTAGATGCTGCCTTTCTCTAAGGACCTCAAAGTACCTCTCAGACATTAAGCTTATCTGTTCTTCTAACACAGTTGTCTCATGAAATAGGTGGCTAATTATTCCCATTACAAAGACCAAGCAACTAAGGCTCACCAGAATGTGATACTCCCCCTCCCCCAAATAACACACTATCAGCTGAAGAGCAGAGTCAAATTAAGGTCACCCGGTTCCTTGATATCATGCCATATATAGGCCTGAGATCCCACGGGGTGGTGAACTCTTTATAGACGGCATTTCTTCCACATTTATGAACCCCATTAATACTGGGCCTCGGTCGAATGTTTGCTCCCTCTACTAAACACCAGCCTTCTTCTTTCTCTGTGACTGATAGAGAAAAATCACAGCATCATTTCACCCTTCCTTCAGTGCAGAGAGTGTTAAACTGTGCAGAATAAATAGCCTTGTCTAACAGCTAAGTACCTGCAGAGAGTAAAAGTAGGCAATTTAGATTCTGATTAGTATTGTTTCACAGAATGCATTGCCAGATCACTTTGTACATTAGAATGTGGCAAGCTGAATTGTATAATGTTTTCATTTTCAATATCCAGTCAAATTCATATAATGTTTTAGTTTTCAGTATCCAGTCAAATTTCATATAATGTTATAGTTTTCCATATCCATTCAAATCCATCTGCATACAATGCCTCTGGGTGTGGAGTTGAGGCCCTGAACCTCTTTATATGCACCACCCCATCAAAACCCATGTCCACAGCATATGCTTGGTCATTGTGAGAAATGATTCTCTCCCTTTCCTCACTCAAAAAGCAGGAGCAACAATATGTATCAACCTCAGAGTGATAAATTTAATCCAAAAGTAGTTATATATAGAAGGGAGACTTGCTAAATATGAAATTGAAGCAAGTGTGGTATTAAAATGAGACCTGGCTATCAACAAAATAGAAGACTGTTTGCTAGTCAGTTCTCAACACATTGAAATCACATCAAAAACAGCTCTTGAATTAAAGATGTTATTACAGTTGTCTTCAGTTTTTGTAGCATTTGCTTTCTTGTCTTGATATGGTACCAGAATGCTTTCATTTTTACTTTTCCTAGTTTTTACCTTTTATTTTTTTCTATTTGAATTAAGCTAGAGCCATTACACAGCTCTATTACATGAAACTTTTGGCTTAAAAGTAAAAATGACATTTGAACCAGTCAATTGCAGTTAATAATCAGAAATACTACCTAAAACAATCAAATGACTGATCAGATTTGCTGGACTTCTGCTGCTGGGTAAACCTATTCTCAAAATGATCTGTATGTTGTTCTGTGAAGCCATGGAAATAGAAATAACTAATTGGCATAAGAGCTTCCTGTATCTAGGGCATGGTACAGAGAACTGCAACCGTGGGTCCCCATATCTGCCATTCCTGAGTGCATAGACAGTCAGCTTGTGGTGTCTTTAGACTCCCCAAATTCTTTGCCTTTACAACTTGAAATTAAGACTGATGGTAATGGAATCTTTTTAAGAGTTCCATGTTGTAGAGTTTATGTCTAATTCCCAGTTGGCCTCTATTAGTGTATTAAATTCTTCTGAGCCTGTTAAGCAGGTGTATTTGCATTTCGCTGCCAGGAGGTTGTGCTAGAAACAATGGGCTTGAGACACCAGCGTGAGCCAGGGGATGAAATTTTATTTTAAAATCTGAAATGCTGTGTAAGCATTTAAGGTATGAATTGGTAATTGTTTCACAACAGTTTCCATTAGATATGGTTTATTTGTAGTCCATCCTCTTTTTCAAGGATCCAGGGGAGTGTTAACACACTGAAGCGGACTGCATATCATTTACATTTTTAAGCTGGCATTAAGGGCCAGTGACCGTAACTTTTAAGAGTTCTAAATATTGGAAGGGATTTTATACCTCTGTCCCTGGAGAACACACATTTTAAGTTTTTCATTTGAAATTAAGGAAGTTTCATGTTTTGTTTAAGGATTTGACAAATTCTGAAACAGAAATACCTTAAAAAGAAAAAGAGAGGGAAAAAAAAAAAGGTCGGGTGCTAAGAGTGAGAACTCTTTGCTCCCTAATGAATTCAGTAAAACGCAAACTTTTAAATATCATCTGTCTAATTCAAGATTCGAGATCATCAAATTCTGTCTAAATATTTTGTTTTAGCTTCTAAGCTCATTATGGTCTCTTTGTGTTAACTTGTATTAAAATCTGTCAGCTATGACTGGTCTCATAAGCACAGTCAGCGGACCAGAATAAGTTAATTATTTACTCGTGTCACTAGTGCTCTTCATCTAATGAAATGCACAGCTGTGTTAGATCTGCAGTTGGATGTCTTGCTCCCATTGTTCCACAAGTCAGCAGAGGGTAGAAGCCGCAATGATGGAGAGCCCTCAGTTCTTTCTGCTGTTCTGGCTTTCTGTGTCGATTTCATGGATCTTTTATCATTCACTTTCACACAAAACAAACAACACTGGGCTGTCTGCTATGGGAACCATCTTGGCATATAAAAGGGTTTTCAGAACCTGAAGTAATTTTAAGTTAGCGAAGATTTAATTTTTGGCTTACAGGTGCCCTTGGTTCAGATACAGCCAAAGCAGTTCCTCTAGTGGCATGAAATTAATCAAAATTTGTTTATATGTATTTTTAAACAAAATATCAGCAAAGGGCTGATAAGAAAATAACCTCCCCAAAGAGGAAGCTCTGCAGGAAATATTAATCGGATTTCAAGCAAAGTGATTGGAGATTCAGATTTCAAGGGAAGGAGCGGTTCTTTCATTTTAGTAACATCATAAAGTGGGATTTGCATGAAAAGTGTCTCATCAAACGGAAAACACAAAATGGGAATCCTCTCTCTCATTACCCTCCCCCAATATAAGCATGTCATGCTTCAGTTTATGTGCCTCCTGCCCCGCACTCCCACCTTCCCTTGTTGGAGGGGGGACAGGCAGACGCCAGTATCCCCCTGTGAACTGCTGCCGAAGGGGTGCCGAGTTTTTTCTTCAGTTTTGTTTTTAAGGGATATAGTCGCACCCACCCTTTCCCTCACCAGCCAAAATGGCATTCTCACCCGAGCATGTCCCAGGATTGGCCTCTTTCGAAATTGCCATTTTTAACATTTCATTCACTCCTCAACAATATTGTTGTCGGTGCACCTAGATTTACAGTTCGATCTCTTTCAGAGTAGATTTCCCAGTAGCTCTGGTGTTTTGTCAGATAATTTCAGTGTGGACAAGATGGATTTTTGGAGGGAAGGAAGAAGGATTACACACTCTACTTGATTTAAATTCTAATACATGGTAGCTGAATTTGAAATAAAGTAAACTAACCGATTATATCTGTTCTTCATATAGGAAAGCATATGTTCTTTATAATAAATAATACAATTTCAACCAAAAAGCCAATTAAAGTAACACATGCTCTAGAATTCAACTCCACAAGCCTAATTACCATATTGTTGGCAGCCACTAAGAAATCAGAATATTAGTAATCAGTGTTAAATGGGCACATGGCATTCTTTATCGCTCTTGGTGATTATAACATCATAAAAATTTTATTTTAAAACAGTTTGAGTAATTATGTAGAAGTCATATTGAGGAGTGAAAAATTTCTTTGAGAGTGGTTTCTTTTCAGTAGATACAGATGTTGATAACTTTACACACAGGAAAAAGTAATTTTATCCTGCTGCAAATATAAAAACATTTTTTTCCTTAGTCCAATACCGTTGTACACTAGTTTTCCATCTCTCAGTTATGTAGATTGTGGTTAACAATCTAAGTTCTACCCCTCTCACTCCACCCAGGAAAAAGAAACCAAAGGAATTAAAAACTATTTAGCAACAAAATCCCCTACGGGTTAGAATACTATTAAGGGAGCAATAAAGTATAATTAATTCAAGAGAATATCAGTAGTGTGCATATAGTTGATAGCTTTTTGTTTTGTTTTGTGTTCATTCTTAGGATGCCATTTCTAATTCTAGTCCTTTTCTCCAAAAATGATTTGGCATTTAATTTTCTTGTTCAACATTGCAGATTTAATCAAAGATCACTTTTCTAATGGATTGTAAGCTATAGGAATTAAAATTCCTTCGGGCAGTTTAGGCTCAGCCAAGGAATCCCGGGCAAGAAGCAACCAAACAGACAGTACTCTGCAGCGCATAGTTGGACCTGTTAGCACATCAGCCACACACAAGTACTTCTTGTCACCGTTTTTTTAAACCACATCTTAGAGCACACCCCTCGTTTAATCAGCTCTGTGTTTGGTGGTCAGAGACCTTGGGTTCCTATGATTTGGGTGCAGAACATAGATCACAAAGTAGCTGATAAGGAGCAACATTGCTGCTGACTTGAAGCTTCAGAGACATTGCTGAGCCCAGGACGAAGTGAAGTCACTGCTGCCCGATGTCCAGGGTACGAGAGGGTGGGCGTGCAGCCTGACAGCACCATTGTGCATCATGCCCACAAGCCTGTCCACAGCCTCTTTCTACAAGGAGAGTTGTCTTTGAGCTGTTTGGCTAGCAGGATTGTTGGAAATTGCTTTTGTTCCTCTTGATAGAGACCATGGGGAAGGTTTTAGAGCAGTGGAAATAGAGATAGCAGCGGGGAGATCCCAATTAAGTACTGTATTCTTCCTTTCTGCTGAGTTGCCTTATGCGGCATGAAATCTTCTCTCCCTCAGGTGTCTGTGGCTTGATCGTCCCTCAGGAAGACATGCCGTTTTGTGATTCTGGCATCTGTCCGGACATCATCATGAACCCACACGGCTTCCCATCACGTATGACGGTCAGTTGCCTTGACATTTTGCAGAGGCGCTACTTTTGAGGAAGAAAGCAGGCAGTTGGGTTAAATGAAGAGGTTCCTAGCCACTGATAATTCTGGGCCACTCTCCTCTACAGAGAGAATGAGGAGCACAGCTGTACTTCCCTTTGAGAATGCAGTCTTCTAAGTAATGAACTTATCCCTCAGCAAAGAGAACCCCTGGTATTTAACCCACATAGATTTCCCTGTAAATGATTATTTCTCGTAATCCCAGCTCCACCACTTACCAGCCATATGACCTTGGGAAAGTTATTTAACCTCTCTGTTTCTCATATGTAAAATGAGGGAAATAACAGTGCCTATCTCTTAGGGGTTTTGAGGAGTAAAATTAGCAAACACACGTAAAGCTTTTTGCACAAGTCTGTCAGTTTGTAGTAAACCCTGGTGGTGTAGTGGTTAAGAACTACGGCTGCTAACCAAAAGGTCGGCAGTTCGAATCCACCAGGCGCTCCTTGGAAACCCTATGGGGCAGTTCTACTCTGTCCTATAGGGTCGCTATGAATCGGAATCGACTTGACAGCAACGGGTTTGGTTTTTCTTTTGTTTGGTCACTTAGTAAGAGATCAATAGATGCTTGCTGCTATTAATTTATCACCATAATTAGTAGTGGTCGTCTCATATCCTTTGGGGGAAATAGGCCAGAGGTAAGTAAACAAACAGAATCCCCATACCGCAAAGAGCCACTCAGTTTGTTCACATCCCACAGGTGGGAAAGTTAATTGAACTGTTGGCAGGCAAGGCTGGCGTGTTGGATGGCAGGTTCCACTATGGCACTGCGTTTGGAGGGAGTAAAGTGAAGGACGTGTGTGAAGACCTCGTTCGCCATGGTTATAACTACCTGGGGAAAGACTATGTTACATCAGGCATCACAGGGTAAGTATCTGGTTTAGACATTTAAGGAAGAATGGTTTTATGAGGGTAGAGGTGAGAGCCCTTAATATTTACAGCTTTACTCCTTTAAGAAATCTGATACCAAAAAATCCAGATTTAGAAAGCTGATCATTAGGGAGTGCTCTTTGTACTGGCTATAAGTTTAAAAAGTGGGAGAAGATTTAATTTACGAAAATATGATTTCTACACAGCTTTTATGGAACACATCATTTGTACATAAAATACAAAGGGTTTCTTTTTAACTGTTGAACTTTTCTCTGCGTTTATATGATGAATATTAGATAATTAGTGGTTTAACAGACAGCCTGAGGCCTAACATTTGTGCATTCGTTCACCAAAGATTTCTTAGGCACCTAATATGCGCTAAGTGCCAAGTATATAACAGTAAACAAGGTAGACCTGGTTCCTGCTTACCATTTAGATTTGTTACTAAAGCACATTGCCATCGAGTCGATTCTGCCTCATAGCAACCCTGTAGGACAGAGTAGAACTGCCCCATAGGGTTTACAAGGAGTGGCTGGCAGATTCAAACTGCCTTTTGGTTAGCAGCAGAGCTCTTAACCACTGCGCTACCAGGGCTCCAGAGATTTCTTACTAGGCATTAAAAAAATACCAGACAAAAGGGAACTGCTCAGTGGGCCTATCCTGACAACCTAATTAAAACTAGAACTTAGTACTGCCCGTTCCTCTTCCCTGCTTTATTTTTGTCTGTACCACTCATCACTATCTAACATACAGGTAATAAAACTATATGATGCTATGGTCTCTATCCCCAACTAGAATGTCATCTCCGTGAAAGCAGGACTTGTCTGTTTTTTCACTGTTCTGTTCCCAGTTCTAAGCACAGGGCGTGGGACACAGTGGGTGCTCCATAAATATTTGTTGAATGAAGGAATGAAGACAAACATAAGTACAAATAGTTCTCACCAAAATGTAGACCAAGAATAGGTTAGAAGAGCCCTGTAGGAGGTGGATATGTAAGCTGAAGTATGATGTGAAGGATGAGGAGGAGAGGCCATTCTCAGAGTGTTCCATGCAGAGGAAAAGCTTACTTCAGCACCTTACGAGGGAAAGAGCATGGTTAGTGCAGGGAGCTAGAAAAGGCCAGTCCTTCTGTAGTGCAGTGAGAGAGGCAGCGAAATGGAGTTTGGGGTGAGATTGGAAAGGGGCCAGGTCACACAGGTTGAACAGGGGTCTTCCTGTTAACCTGCAAGGAACAGATCCTCAAAATTATCATGAAGGACAGAATTTAAAACTGGATTCATACATGGTTTTAAAGGAACAAATCAGTTGTTAAAAATTAAGGCACGCATGTATTTTATAAGGCCCTTGAGTGATGCAAGCAGTTTGCGCTCAGCTGCTAACAGTTGCTAAAGGCTGGAAGTTCAAACCCATCCAGCAAGTACTGTAGAAGAAAGGCCTGGTGATCTGCTTCTGTAAGGCTCATAGCCAAGAAAACCCTATGGAGCAGTTCTACTCCGTAACACATGAGGTCACCATGAGTCAGAATCAATTCAACAGCGATGGGTTATGTGTTTTATGCCAGATAAAACTCTGAAACCTCGTGTTCATATGGTTCTTGTGAGGTTTTAAACCACTTGGACATGAGTGAAACACAGAGTGGAAGCACGTATGAGAACACAGCTTGATTTGGGGGCTCCAAATAGACTATCCAGATGTAATTAAAATGGTGAAGAT